TTTGTATGCATTAATGAGTAGGGAAAGGGTTAGAACCCCCAGGGTTATTTTCTTTCCTTTTTCCCCTTTTCCCTTCCATCCTTTTCCTCCCGCGCCTTGCCCCCCCTGCTCCAAACCCCTCCTCTCCAACTCCTCCACACCACGCCCCTCCGATCCTCCCCCCTTCTACCCCACCACCATCACCACTCACTAAGTGAATTCTCTACTTACGTTGCAACCCTTTCCATCTTTCTGCAGAACACGGGACGCCAATCTTGTTGATGATCTTGTGGGCGAGCACTCGGTGCTTGATGTTCCTAAAGACAAACAAAGAAAGAAGGTATATGAGACGTCAGTTCTACCTATAAATTATACAGTAACGGCTTCCAAACATTTCTGCTCACTATGGGGACTTGTAGGAAGCGTCACATGACAACTTTGTGAGGAATTATACAGAAAAATGAAAGGCATATTTCATGGTTTTCAGGTTATTTTACATTTTATATGGTTATTTGTCCGATATTTCATGATATTTGTTATAACATGTTATGAAAGGGGAACTTATCCTTTAAAAATTTGAGCTTGGAAATAATATAAAAAGGGATGTAGAGCTCCATCTGCTGTGGGGTTTGAGAATACAACATATTTCTTTGGAATATTCTGTAATTATCATATATATATATATAATATATATATATATATATATATGAATTTTTTTAAAATAATTTTATCAAGGTAAAATCCCACTAACCATCTAGGCCCCCCATATAGGAACAAACCAGTAATATTGTTCAAAATCTATCTCAGAACTAATCAGGATATCAGAGGGGACACTGCTCACTGATCACTTTTATGGATTTATTTCCAGTTTTCTAGTTTAAGTAATATGAAATTCAGAGGGGCATGAAAAAGGTCCCCCAATGATTTCAGGTCTCTAGTATTCTATGTGTCCTTAAAATCTATTTACAGGGAAGGATGTGTACTTACCTCATCTTCTCGGGGTCTTTGATGTATGTAAGCTTTCCCATCAGTTGATCCCTCTCTATTCTCTCTGCCCCTCGCGCCGTCAGAGGGCATGTAAAAGAAAAAGCCCAATCTTCTCTCGGTGTTTCTTTCTCTTGTCTTCCACTTCTTCCTCCAGTGTCATTTCCTTCTCTTTATTGAAGGTGTTTGTTCTCTCCTCCTTTTCCATCGTCATTCCCTTTTTCCTTCTCCGGTTTCTTTTCTTCAATTTCCTTTTCCATCGCCATTTCCTTTTCTTCAATTTCCTTTTCCATCGCCATTTCCTTTTTTCCTTCTCCGGTTTCTTTTCTTCAATTTCCTTTTCCATCGCCCATTTCCTTTTCCTTTTTCTCCGGCTTCTTTTCTTCAATTTTCTTTTTCTCCTTTTCCTCTGTCACCTTCTGCCGGGGTTCCTTTCTCCAAATCCCGTTGGAGGACACTTACTTCTTCGGTCTTCCTGCTTCCAGATGTTTTGTCCTGATGTAATGAATTCAGAGAGCATTTGAGTAGGCTTTCTTTCTGGTCTCCTTCCTTCTCTTCCCGCACCAATCCTCTGGAAGGAATCCTGTAAGAGAAATTGTCATGTTAGATATTCTCTTCTGGTTTTGCCAAAAAAAAAAAAAAAAAAAAAACGGAATTAAACTGAACTAAACCAGAGAAAATATGAGCTTCATATCTGACTGAAATGATGTCCATTCATTCATATCTCCCTATTTCCCTGACCCTTCCCCTCCTTAAGTGCTGCATATCTACCCAAAACTTTGTATGCTTTGAATAGAGTAGGTAAGGGTTAGAACCCCTCTACGGTTATTTTCTTTGCCATTAGGGAGATTTCCTATTACTTCCCATCTTGGTGATGCTACAGAAAGTGACAGCAAATCTCTCCAAAGCGAGGAGGATTCCCATCTAGGACAGATGTCACCAAAACATTGTCCCCACTGGAAGATTTTTCCCACACTTCTTGCTGTCAGAGACAACTCTAAAATGTAGGATTTCCCCTTCCTTTGTGTCTCAGGGACAATGGTCACCAGGACATATGGAGGGATGAATCCCCCAACTGGGGACAGAGGCGGCTAGAAATACTTGGCAGGGGGTCTAACACTTTCCCACTCTACCCCAAACTGACAAAAGTTTTGCCTTCACTTCTAAAATGGAAGGTTATTCTAGTGGTGGAATTATCATCTGAAAGAGAAAAATTCACCACTAAGGAGTTCATTATAACAGAGCGGACAATGCGATCCAATCTCCGTTATACGATGTAGTGCTACACATACTGCAACCCCCGCATTTTACAGCTCATTTATAAAATGTGTGCCGGTGTGTAGCCTGCGCTAGTTCGTGGTGTTCCCACAGCACAGAGAGATCCATGATTGGAGGAGAGCCGGTCATCTGACTTTCACAGATCACCATACCATCTTTTTCCTTTCCTCCCACAAACTCCATTTATTTTCATGGTTCTCCGCCAACTCTCAGACCCCCGAAGCCGGTGGAGCGCAATGCACATCGTTGGGCTCCATTCATGTTCCATGCTTTGTTATTCTTAAAGGGGCAATATCTCTGCTTTTTAAATCCCCCCCGAAAAATCCCAATATAAATAAGTCCACTAAGGGAATTCCCATTCTTACCTTTTCCGCTCTTTTGTCAGAACATGAAGAGGAAACTTTGCGTATGACCTTGTGAACGCAGACACGCTGCATGATTCTCCTAAAGACAAAGAAAGAAAAAAGTGTATTAGACATCGGTTCTACCTATAAATTATACAGTAACGGCTTCCAAACATTTCTGCTCACTATGGGGACTTGTAAGAAGCGTCACATGACAACTTTGTGAGGAATTATACAGAAAAATGAAAGGCATATTTCATGGTTTTCAGGTTATTTTACATTTTATATGGTTATTTGTCCGATATTTTGTGATATTTGTTATAACATGTTATAAAAGGGGAATTTATCCTCTAAAAATTTGAGCTTTACACACAGGCTGTTTTCAGCAATAAAGGCAATGCTAGCCTGGAAAAAATATAAAAAGGGATGCAAAGCTCCATCTGCTGGTGGGGTTTGAGAATACAACATATTTCTGTGAATACATCCGTTAAAGTGGAATTTCTAATTGTCCGTTATTGAAGTAAATACATTTCCATATACAGTATATTATTATATCATCATATTATATACTGTATATGGAAATGTATTTATTTAGGACAATAACGGAATATTCCACAGAAATATGTTGTATTCTCAAATCCCACCAGCAGATGGAGCTTTGCATCCCTTTTTATATTTTTTCCAGGCTAGCATTGCCTTTTTGCTGAAAACAGCCTGTTTATATAAAAAAAAAACTTATATACTGTATATTTTTTTTTAAATAACTTTATCAATGTAAAATCCCACTAACCATTCTAGGCATAAGCTACCCAAAGCCCCCCATATAGGAACAAACCAGTAATATTGTTCAAAATCTATCTCATAACTAATCAGGATATCAGAGAGGATTCTGCTACTGATCCTTGTATGATGCATTCTCCTAAAGTATGATTAGATCGTTCTACCTATTTCCATTCCAAACACTTCTGCTCCAGTAATTCTAGTCTTGTAGTAATATGAAAGTTTGAGGGGCATTATACAAGAAAAAAAAGCCCCCCAATGATTTCAGGTTTCAGTTTATTTTACCTGGGGGGATATTCCGGCTATAATAACACCTAGAAAAGAATTTATCCTAGTTATATTTTCCTACTGAAGTGTAATCCTCCATGAAGGCAATGTGCCTGGAAAAAATATACGGCTCCATCACTGGCCATTGAAGCATTCTATGTGTCCTTAAAATCCGTATTTACAGGGAAGGATTGTACTTACCTCCTCTCCTCGGGTCATCCGTGTATATGAAGCTGTGCCATCAGTTGTTCCCCTCTGTTGTCTAAGTCCTTCACTCTCGCCTCTCGTTTTTTATTTCTTTTTTCTGCCATTATTTTTCCTGTCTGCCACTTGTTCCTTGTCCTTCCTTTTTCTGCAGATCACTTGTTCCTCCAGTTCCATCGTCAATTCTTTTTCCTTCTTTTTAAATTCCAGATTTTTCCTTCTGTTTCTTTTCTCAATTTTTTTCCATCGTCAATTTCTTTTCCTTCTCCGGTTTCTTTTCAAAATCTTTCATTTTCTAATCCATCCGGTTTCTTGATCAGGCTTCTTGGAATTTTCCATTTCCATTTCTTTTCCTTAATCCGAAAAGTTTCTTTCATCCATCTTCAATTCCTTTTCCTTCTCCGGCTTCTTTTATTCAATTTCCTATCTTAATTTTCCTACTCCGAAGTTCCTTTCCTCCATGATTTTCAATTTTCCGGCTTCCATCTGTCATTGATCCTTCTGCCGGTTCCTTTCTCCAAATCCTGTTGGAAGGACATTTACTTCTTCGGTCCTCAGGCTTCCAGATGTTTTTGTCCCAACGAATAAATTCAGCCAAGCGCTTGAGTAGTCTAATTGCCCTTCTTTCTGCCTCTCCTTCCTTCTCTTTCTTGCTCCAATCCTCTGGAAGGAATCCTGTAAGAGAAATTGTCTTCTTTAGATATTTGGTTTTCCCAAATCGTGGAATTAAATTTAAACCAGAGAACTTTTTCCTTCCGGTCACTTTTCCAGATCTCTGTCAATTTCCTTTTCCTCTTCATTCTTCTTTTCTTCAATTTCCTTTTCCATTCTTCATTTAGCTACCTTTCCTTCAGAGACTATTTCCCTTTCCATCTTCCCCTCCTTAAGTGCATATCCTTCCCAAAACTTTGTTTTCCTTCTCCGAATAGAGTAGGCAAGGGTTAGAACCCCTCTACGGTTATTTCCTTCTTTGCTATTAGGGAGATTTCCTATTACTTCCCATCTTGGTCAATGCTACAGGAAGTCCACTGCAAATCTCTCCAAAGTGAGGAGGATTTTCCTCTCCATCTTGGACTTTTCACCAAAACATTGTCCCCACTGGAAGATTTTCCCACACTTCTTGCTGTCAGAGACAACTCTAAAATGTAGGATTTCCCCTTTCTTGGTGTCTCAGGGACAATGGTCACCAGGACATATGGAGGGATGAATCCCCCAACTGGGTACAGAAGTGGCTAGAATACTTTCTTTCTCACTTTCCCCTTCTCCTTCTTGAAAAAGAGTCCCTTCTACTTTTCCAAATTGGAGTCTAGTGACGGGGTTGGAACATCATCATCTGAAAGACCCAAACTGAAAAAGAGTTTTGCCTTCACTTCTCTATTTAAATGGAAGGTGATATCTAGTGACGGGTCCATGGAAATCATCATCTGAAAGAGAAAATTCACCACTAAGGAGTTCATTATAACAGAGCGGACAATGCGTATCCAATCTCCGTTATACTATGTAGTGCTACACATACCCTCAACCCGCATTTTACAGCTCATTTATAAAATGTGTGCCGGTGTGTAGCCTGCGCTAATTCGTGG